TATAAAGATAAAGATCATATTTTAAAAAAATCTTAGGAGTTAGACAAAAGTACAAAGACTAAAAGTAACTTCTCATTGAATAGGAATCTCAAAGAAAACTAAAATCTATTGCTTTGAAGTCGAAAATTAAGAAGGCTAAGGACAAGGCTTTGAAATTCGTAGAATAAAATGATGAGGATTTAAAGGATCATCAGATGACGAACTTTTTGTCATCTCTTGGAAAGCACAACGTCTATGGAGAAGAAGGAATAAGTTATTCCCCAATAAGGAATTCAAGTATCACAAAGATCAAAGAGACAAGAAGTTAGCTGACAAGAAGGTTATTTTCTATGAATGCAAAGAACCTCAACATTTTACAAATGAATGTCTGTAGTCATATGTGTAAATCATGCCCAACAACTCCTTGAGTCATTGAGACCTACATTTACTTTTTAAAGCCCTGAAGAGGGGAAAATAGACAAACAAAATACACATAAGAGAAATAATAAAAAATAAATTATATTCATATGTTTGTCAATTTTCTTATTAGCGGGCTACAAAAAGAAAAGCGTCAAACTATCTATTTAACTACAATACCATTTCAATTTGGACATGTTCCATGTCCTCGGTATATGCTTTCATTCAAAGGATTCCAATAAGTACACACCTCACCTGATGCTTTCCTTCACCCGATAGGGTCCTTTCCAATTTTTCACTAGCTTATCGTCTTGGGCGTTCTTGCCCACGATGTTAGTTTTTCGCAGTATGAGATTCCCCATATGAAATTACATTTTCCTTACATGACAATTTTATTTGGAAGTTGTGGCTTACTTGATGATGTACCTGGAAAAGGCAGAAGATATCCACTTCTCTTCCAAAAGGTCAATGTCTTATCTGAGGGTGCGACTATTAGTTTCCTCAAAAAGGGTGTTAGTTCTCCTCCAAGTTAATTCTTCAATTTCTATTGAGATGACTGCTTCTCTGCCATACCTAAGTCGTTATGGAGTCTCCCATGTCAATGTGGGTTATACGATAAGCCCATGCCATACCTGGGCCAGTATGGAGTCTTCCCAATTGCCTTTGGCTTGCTCTAGCTCCCTTTTCAATCCCCTAACCAATAGATGTTTGGTTGCCTCTGCTTGGCTATTGGTTTAGGGTTAGGGGTGTTTGACCGAGGAGAAATGCTGCTCAATTTTCAATTCTTCTAGAAAGTTCTTAAATTTTCTGTCTATGAATTGTTTCCCATTGCCCGTCATAATGGATCATGGAAACCCAAATCGGGCCAAAATGTTCTTCTTGAAACTTTTTAAAACACTGGCCGTCGTGATTTTGCCAAGGTGTCAACTTCTATCCATTTGATAAAATAATCAACGACTATGATCAAGAACCTGCCAGAGCAAAATGACCAAGAAGGTATAACCCTCATTACATGAACGAGCATGTTAAGGTTAGAATGTCTAGCTCGGTGGATGGGGCGTTGAATACGTCTTCGTGTCGTTCACATTGGTCGCAATTGTTTACATGCTCTCGAGCGTCTTATACCATGGACGACCAAAAATATCATGTCTTCATGACTTTTTTGGCCAAGGCCACGACTTCCAAGTGTTGTTTGGCTATCCCCTCGTGTACCTCTAGAATAGTGTAACCGGCCTCTTTCTTTCCTAAGTATCTTAGCAGGTGTTAGCTCTCAAATTCGACTCCTAGATTTTTATTAAAGAAATAATAAAAATAATTACATGAAGTAATGAATAGGTGTATCGACATGACTATATTTAATATAGTCGAAATGGCCGTTTGTGCGAAGAGGGAGTGCTGGATAAAGACATGAAGAAAAATATTTTGAATATGGTTCGACGGAGATGATATTTCAGACGCGTAATTTGAATTCAAATAAATGAGGGAATTTTCGTTCTTATCCAAATTTATGAAGAAGGACACGTGGAGTTTTCCAAGGAAGAGAGACATGTCAAGCGCCACTTGTCATTTGTTTATGGTGTAACCGTTAGAGTCAGTTATTTTCTACCATTATAAATAGAATGTCTTAGTGTTAGAATGGGTGTGTTCAAAAGTTTGTACACATTTTTTGAAATTACTCAAAGTATCCGCGTGTAGAGAAAAAGAGTATGTCGAAGGAAATGTATCTTTATGTTTTTAATGCCAAATTTATTTTTTTATCACAAATTCTACCTCTTTAATGCTCAAGTTATTTAATTGTCTTTTGATCAAGTTTCTACACTTTACTTCTTCTAAAATTTGAAGTTTTTAGTTTTTAGGTCATGGATAATATTGGAACCTTTATTATTCCCCAAACTCTTAATTAAGAATTGCTAGCACATGTCTTAGGATTTGCGTGGTCGATCCTGTACGTAACCCAATTTATTTTAATCAGAAAGACCTGCGGTTTTTTTACAAATTTTTCCAGTAAACAAATTGGCACGCCCAGTGGGACAATGCTAGTAGTGCTCTTGTCGCAATTTTGTTTATTATCGTTTCTCTTTGAAAATTTTGTTGCATGTTATTGAGAAGTGGCAAAATAGCCACCAGTAACGAAGATAGACCAAGGAGAATGTATACTAAGAAAATGGTGAATCCTAACCAGCCAAATGTTTCAATTCCTCAAAGTTCATCGAGTAATAATCGAGAACAGCCTCAAGCATCTTCAATTGGGGCAACAACGGTCCCTGTATCAGAACCAATTCCATCTATGGCAAGTTTGATGCCCATGCAATTAATTACCCATAGTGATCCCATTCTAAATTATACTGGGCCAAGGGGCCCTCCAATAACTCCCCCACCAGTGGGGATTGTCTTGAATAGCCCTTTCATGCCCCCAGGTTTCTCTATTCCTTTTGGAAATCGAGATCAACCATATAGAATGCCAACATCCATGATGGCAAATTTGCACAATGTCGCCTGAACATTCTCAGAACCTGTAGTGAACGTTACTTCGCCACTACAAGGATCAAACTCTGGGATAAACATAGGGAGAAATAGCCAACCTGTAGGAATCAATTATTCCACCTAAATGCCAAACTTGATCAATAACTCTGCAGCAGTCATTAGGCAACAAATCGATGAGAGTAACCACGAAATGGTCCAAATGTTGGCCCAAAAATGGGATAAATTCTTAATCCCCTAATACAAAGTACCACCCAATCCAACCAACAAGTAACGACGCAAATGACACGTCTTGCAGACTTTTTTGGAGTAGCACAACCTCCTCGATATCCACAGAGAGAATACATATTGGCAAATCAGGGAGTAACCCTCGAAGAGGATCCCACTATTAATCAGGTTCTGAGACTCACATCATCAACCCTCTTTCCTCCAATATCATGTTACCTTTTATTCTTCTTCTTCACCTTTCTATTTTGTGTTTCTCAAATATTTTTGAAATTTGATTTTGAATCTTTTGATATTTATAATATTGAGTATGTGTTGAAATTTAGATTATATATATATTAAGTTATAAATTAGACCTTCAAACCCTTCAAAGCAGTAACATCTCTTTCATGTCTTTGGAATTAAATATACTATGAATGATTGATTATTACTCTATATTTGTAGCTTGGAAATGGAATACTCATTAGATTCATCTTTACTCGAAAAAGGCATTTCAAAGAGGTAACATCTTCTTTTGTCTTTGTAAAAGATATTATACACAGTTGAAATTCACCCGTTAATATGCCACTGTAATTTCAGATTAAGAACATAATCATATGCTTTTGGTTCCAAAACAGGCCGTGAAAAAGTGAGAACGAATAAACTCAATGATAAGTATGCTATTATTCTTTGCAACTTTCTGCTTGAGTGTATAAGCTTCTAAACTAAGATCTCATATTTTTTCAATTTGACATGATTTAAAAGTTTTTGAAATTGAGTTCTGTCTTAGAACTTGATACACTGCCCAAAATAGATAATGTTACTTTATTAAATGACGCGGTTTGAGTGGTGACTCAAGGAAAGGAACAAAGAATTACGCGAAAAATTTAAAGAGCTTAAGTTAATTTTTCTCATCTCAAGTTGTGTTCCGCGGTAGCGTTTTAATGATCAAAGATTTATATAGGAAACACGGTTCTAAAGAGTTATGTTTTGCAGGCTGAAAAGAACGAGCTTCGTGATGAGAAGAATAAGCCGAAGGTAGACAAAGAAAAGCTGGAACAACAAGTGAAATTAACAAGTGTACAATCAAGCTTCCTTTCTAATGCCAGGACTGCTAAAGCGCAAACTATCGGCCACAAGCTGATGCCTTTCATTGGTTATCCTAGAGTTTCAATGTGGCCGTTTATGTCACCTGCTAAGATTGATGCATCACATGATCATCTCCTTTAATGACTCGTTTCTTAAAGTGGTTAGCAACAACATTCACTCTCCTATTCTACAAAAATGTTATTCGAACATCAACTTCATATACGAAATTATTGAATTTATATGTATCAAATTGTTGTTGGAATAACATTGTTGTTATCGAATCCTTATATTAGTTGTATTAATATATATGGAATAATTATATTTATATTTATATTGTAAATAAAAATTATTATTTTTTTAAATAATAAACTTCTTTGATAAACTAATTTATATATATATATATATATATATATATATATATATATATATATATATATATATATATATATATTATATTTTTAAAATAAATGCGAGTAACACGCCGGTATCCGTGCATGGATATCCGAGTTTAATTATCATTAACTAAGTGAAACTTAGTTGAAACTTGGCAAGGTGATTGGGTTTCAATATCTTTGATGGCCAGCATCCAAGTAAAGCTATAAGCCACGTATTGCAAAACAATCTATCACATTCTCTTGTAATACCAACCAACCATACTCATCTCACCTTATCCTTTTCTCCCTTTTAATCCAAAAATACAAATCTCCCTTACCACAAACTCTCAACAGATTTCAAGAAAAAAAAGGTTATTGCATTTATTTTCCTTATAGTACCATTTCATCGATTCAATATTTCTCTAAACTTTTTCTCATATTTCACAGATAATAAAAATGGCCACAGCCTCAGCAGCAACTCCGTCTACAATCACTGTTGTAGGAAGCTCAGCCACCGGTTCCAAATCAAGGACCCTCAAGAAGTGTCCTAATGTGCAGTCCATCAGAAGACTCTATTCTTTTAACGGATTGAAAGCTCAGCACAGCACCGTGACATCACTGGGAGTTCCGGTTTCCTGCGAACAAGGTTTTGCCAAAGTGATCTGTTCAATATCACAGGGAGGAAGAAGAAGCCGTAGAGGTGGTGGTGCTCTTTCTTCATCATGTAATGCTGCAGGTGAGATTTTTCAGATTGCAGCTATTATGAATGGACTTACTCTTGTTGGTGTTGCCGTTGGGTTTGTTCTTCTTCGAATTGAAGCTGCTGTGGAAGAAGCTGAGTAAGAGTTTTTATTATATGCATGTAATGTAATATGTAAGTTTATTATATCAGTTTAATTCCTGATGTGATGATGTAGAACTCAATTGTTAATGTTCTTGGAGGTATTTGAATTGTACCCACTTGAATTTTTATTTTGAGATGCATAATTGTAAACAATGCTGTTTGGTTTTGTACATCTATATTGGTTGGGATATCTATGTTTGAATACCGTATTTTAACGATAATAACTGATTTGCTGATTTGTATTATAGATCAACATTTGGTTGAGATCATAGTCTTTGATCTTCGGTGATGAACTACTAGTTGTTTAAAAACAAAAAGACTAACTTGTCTTAACTTAGGGTTTAGGGTTATGCAAGTTAGTTATGATCGTTACTATTTTCAAATATCATGTCATTATTTTAATGCTGTTGAAATATTTTATTAATTAAATAAATAATATTATAATATATTTCACATAATTAACGTTAATTATATAGATAATGGGAATTAAATTTTAGTTCACTTAGATACATGTCAGCTCTACTATAATGCAAATTCTTTATTATTAACGTAAGCTATACAAAATTTTGGTTTAATAATCCTGCATTAAAGTTGTTCTAAATAACTTGTTTTGCTTCAAGCTGTTAGGTAGTTAGAAGCTAAAAGAATGTTTTCTAAGCTACATGCACACCTATGCATGATTACTATATAAGCACTTTGTATGGAACTTTCACAAGCTAATAAAGTGTTTCTCCTTTATTCATATTAATATATTAAAGTAATAGAGTATAAATTTGCCTTTTTGTTTAAATTCTGTTTACATAATTAATCAATGGAATGCTGATAGATGATCAAATCATTTGGATAATAAGTGTTTCTTATAGACTTGGTTATTTGAAAATTGATAATTTGCAAGATCATCACTTCAAGGACATTTCTATACATTTCCTCAATTTTTTAACAAAGAGGACATTATATTACAAACTAAATTTACAATTTAAAGTAAAACTCAGAATTGCTCTTTCAACTGAGTAAACAAACACATCATATATGCCTTCAGAGTCCGTTGTTTTAGTTATTGAAATCAAAAGAACATTCTGAAAGCATCAACAACTTTCTCAGGCCTGTCGAAAAATACAAAGGTTAAATTTATAAGAGAGTGAATAAAATTGTCTACAATGCATTAGAATTATGTTGAAGTTACTCTTACCAATCCTCTTGTGGCATATGACCAGCTCCTTCTATCAATTTAAGCTTGATGTTTTGAGGATTTCCTTTCTGAAACTCCTCTGCTATAGATTGCGGCAAGTACTTGTCGGATAATCCCCAAGCAAGCATCACCGGTTTATCCCATCTACAACAAAAAACAAGCGTTAGTCTACCCAGAGTAGTCGATCCCGGATAGCAGCGTGGAGCGACCGACCTCAAAAATAGAATAGTGGGATAGCGTATTTCTGAGGGCTAAAATTGAATAAATATACCTGTTAGTTGCAAATCCTTCTGCTATTTCATTGAAAGTAGCTTTGAAATTAGCTTTTCTTGCAGCTTCAAGTAGAGCTGAAATTCAACATCAGAAACTCCATTATTGGTAACTCAAAGTCAGCAAAATTTAGTTTTTCTCAGTTTCATTACACAATTTTCCTCTATACCTCTTTCTATAATTTTGAAATTAGCTTTTGAAGTGTGTAGCTTTTTCAACAGTTGTATTATATTTTGAACAGCAAAAGAACTCAGAAAATTCAAGGTGTCAAAATGATGTACTAACCAAATCCAGGTCCACTGCTTGCCAAATAAGGTAGCCGGTAAACATCAGCCTTTTCATTTTTCAGAACATAACTGCAGAATAATGCATCAATAAGAGAAAGCCCCTTGCATATTATTACAAACAGACTAATGGAAATAAGTTGAAAACAGCTTATGGCCATAAGCTCTCTCAAACAATATCACTAGCTCTTGTGGCAGTTAATAAACTCAAGTCAATCCAAAGAGACCGCCATCTAGTCAAATTGAAGTTAAACTATAAAATCAATTTTGCGTAACAATAATCAAATATTTGCTTTTTTACTAAAATCACACTTGATAGGGAAATTATCAATTAATAAAATACCAGCCAATAATCAAATGCAGTTTTGGATACATACGGGCTACCTGCTTCAATAAACCGTTCGGCAATAATGGCATTCTGGCATTGAAATTCACCATATAGAGGAAATCTAGAAACAAAAGAAAACGATTCAAAGGAATTAATATAATATAAGAATCAAAACCAAACAATTAACATATCTCAATAGATATAAGAGCACCAAACCTTAGCTGCTGAAATAATCCAGGAATGGGAGATGAAACTGTTAATGGAGTGTTTAGTATTGCAAGCTTTGATATCTTGTTTGAGTTCTTCAAGGCCCACGTTAGTCCATATGAACCTACAAGAAATCCCTTAAGAGGAATTGTCATCATATATATAATGTTAGACACAACTTATAGACATGTTATAAGCTATTTTCATAAGCTCTCCAAAACGGCCTCGCAAGTGTTTATATCAGTAGATAAGTTTAAATGCACTACAATGCTTCAACCTACTGAATATTCAATATGAGAAATGCTATAATCCCAGATTGTATTCATCATCTTTAGATACCTGGACAACTAGGAAAAACGGAGCTTCGACCTTCAACGCTTCAAGAAGTTTATCCAATGCATCATGGAACTCCTTTTCTATAGGAATTTTGAGAAAGAACATCAAGTATGAGTTTTATGCATGAAAAATTAATCATGATATAAAATCAATCATAACAACACCTGTGTAATTAAAACCATATCCTGGTTGCGGTTTATCACTGAAACCAAATCCTATCCAATCAGGTGCAAAGCAATGGAACCCTGCATCTGCCAACTGTATAACCACATACCATTATTGGCAAATTGTGACATAAGTTTAAGGCTATGTTTGGATTATGGACCTGAATAGAATAGAATGCAACTATTTTATTAAGAATAACCTGAGACATAACGACTCGGTAGCTAAAAGATTGTGTTGGGGCACCGTGAAGGAAAACAATTGTTCCTCTTCTGCTTTTTACTGATCCTGCAAAAACGGAGAAGAAGAAAAAACAGAAACATGTTTTCTGAACATTTGATAAAGGGAAAAATAGAGATGAAAGTACTTTTACAACAAAGAAATGATACCAGTTTCCCTCACAAACCATCTCAACTTCCCGGATTTCACATATGACCCGAATTCCTTGCCCTTGTCTTGTATTTTCTAGGAATACAAAAAACACAACTATTACAGCATTCCAACTAAACAAACAACATCATCACTATCACTATCCGAAATCAGACAGAGCATGCATTTGAACAAACAACTTAAATAAGCACTTACCTATAACAACTTATGTACAAGTTGTTTCTACAACCGAAGAAGAAACTATGGTAAACAACCATAAGCATAAGCCAAAAACAATCTATGAATATGAACTATCGAGAAGAACTTGTGAAACAGAACAGATAGCAGATTACAGACATATCATAAGCTTTTGATTTCCATTTTGGAAGGGGGAGAAGCAATTCTAGAGGTGTAGAATTGATTTTGACGTGTTTGATTCATCAAAAGTAGAATTCATTATGACCTTCAAAATGGATTTTACTTGATGCTAGGATTTGTAGTTTTTGAGTCTAAACGTGAATTTTACACTGATCAATTCACTTTTGCATGAATCTATCCAAACATAAATTACTTTATATTCAACTCACTTTTAACTAAATTCAATTTATGTACACAACAATGCTCTTACACAAATAGTTGAGTGTGTTTAGTTTGGCGGTAGTAAAAATTGATTTTAAATAAATTGATTCTAACTAAAAGTGAGTTGAATTTAAAGTGAATCAGGTTTGAACAATAAATTATAACTTCAAAAGGCTAAGTGTATGTTTGGTTTCATGGCTGAAGCACATAGAATTGATTTTGACATGTTTCATTGCTCTGGAGTAGAATTGATTCCGCTTTGTAAAATTGATTATACTTGAAGCTAGGATTTTTAGCTTTGAATCTAAATTTTTACACTCAAATTTAATGTTCAACTCACGCTTAACCTCAAAAGGTACAAATCTTAGTTCTGAAAAGCATAATCGATTCTACACATCCACAATCAATTCTAAGTGCTGAAAAAGTATAATCAATTCTACACATCCAGAACCAGAATTAATTCTAAGTGCTCCAATAGTGAAAGCAAAAATATACTAAAACTATAAAATAAGTCAATTCTAACGATTCAAAATCAATTCTTCATTTCTGAAATCAAATTTTCCTACTCCAGAAGTGGAACTAAACATGCAAATCATCATAAGAAAACAATTATTAAAAGCATTGAAATATAAGAAAGATTACATCAATCATTTGTCCAACGTTGCCATCATCAGCAGGAGTTTGAGGCAATTGAATGGCACTACGGCTTGATGCATTATCAGTAACAAATCCAAAAGGATTGAACGAAGATTTCTCATCTTCATCTTTCTCTGTTGAGCTAGCTCTCACTCTCATATTTTTCAACCCTCTGCTTGATTCTCTTTTTCTGCTACAACAGTTGGTAGTTGAAGATATGGCAAGGTTGAGAGTAGGAGAAAACATAGCAGAAAACACCATTGTTGCAAAAGAAAAAGCTTCAAGTGAAACAACAAAACAAAAACTAGCCACTGTTTTTTTTATTATTGTTTTAATGTTTTTATAAATTGAGGTTGATGTATGTGGTTACTTCAATGTGCTCCTCATATGTTTCCACCTAAGACACATGATATATACTAATATTCAGCAAAATAAATATATATATATTAATTTATGATCTCTTGTCATCTATTATATTTTATATATATATATATATATATATATATATATATATATATATATATATATATATATATATATATATATATATATATATATATATATATATATATATATATATATATATATATATATATATATATATATATATATATATATATATATATATATATATATATATATATATATATATATATATATATATATATTTAAAACCAAAAAGAAGAACTAGTATATTGAAAGACAAAAGCAAACAATAAGGTCGTAAACCAAAATCCTGTAAGAAATGATTCGAAGTCTTGAGCTAAGCCTGTCTAACAATCTTTTTTTATGTTATTATGCATAAAATTGAATCAATTGTTAATTCTAAACATGAAATTAATTGTGGCTAACCAATTTGGATAACTATTAACTTTCCTAAAAATATAAGCAATCAAAAAATTCATGTCAAGAGTAATAGCTACACAATTCATCCATTTAGTTCTTCTCTTTCAAGGAAAAATACTATTGTTGGTAAACGCATTATATAAGAGTAGAATCTGATTTGATCCATAGATTATCCCACTTATACTCCTTAGCATACTCAATAGTAGTCATAGTTGCAGTGAGTTCCGCAATCAAAACATTTCCATCACCCAAAAATTTAGCAAAGCTTCCCATGTAATCAACAAACTCATTTTTAAAAATACCTTATGTCATACTCCAAATTTATCCTACCTATATAATATTACCCTCATTTGGGTTTCTGTTTGTTTTTATGTTTACTAATCATTATTAAAAAGTTTAAAAAAATATGTTGCTTTTTCTTTCATTTTATTTAATTGTCTAAGCAGGTGTTTGCAAGGATCAGAGCTCATTCAAAGTCATCATGATTGAAGGTTTATTTCATTTTTAAGTTATTTTTGTCATGGTTGGTTTTGAGAGCAAGAATGTGCTGAATTCAAGTACTCTGTGATTGAATATCATCAAGGACCAAATCATGGTCAATTAGAATTTTGTGCAGTGCATTGTGATTATTTAATTTCAAAACATATTCATTAGGTCCATATTATTATCTAAGAAGGTTCAATGTGAATACTTTGGTTCATAAGATTCAAATGACTATTTGTTCAAGTTTCATTATTTTTGGAAATGGTTCAAGGTTTTACTTCATTCCAAGTTTGTTCTTAATGAAGAATTCAAAAAATATTGGAAATTGGTTTTCAGTACGATTCTTGGATTCATTTTCAGTACGATTCTTGGATTCAATTTAAGTGTGGTGTTAATTTGGAAAATTCAATCAAGTTTATCATTCAAGTCAATCATTAGGTTTCAAGTTCAATTCAAATGAAATAATGGAGGGTGCAAATTATAAAGTCCATTTCACAATCAAAAGCCCAATCAAGTTCTCACCAAAAAGCCCATTCTATCTACAAAAAATAAAAGTCCATTAAAACAACCATTACAATCCAAATTCACAAAAAAGGGCACTTGAATAATCCAAACAACACTACCAAACTTGATGAAACTTCACGCTTTCCACAACCTTCAGCAAGCCAAGGAAAAACAATTCCACATGAACCTTTACCACAATTCACGTGCCAAGCCCATCACACTGCGCAAATTTATGCATCTTCTTCCATCTTCATCAACAAAGCTTCAAACCTAAATCACTCAATCTCCAAACTTCCTTCAAATTTGAAAACCAAAAAAATAACAACTTTTCAATTCACTTCCAAACAAGGATCCAGATAGAACCGAAATCAAACTAATTCGAGGGAGAGAAGAGACGAAATTGGAAGAGAGTTTGCAATAAACCATCAGAACAAAACAAAACCGCGAGAGAACGAGATTGAGGGTTGAAGTTTCACTATGTGTAGCCGGCGCGGTTGGGAGAAGAAGACGTAGGCAAACATTTTTTTGTGTCTTTCTCTTTTATTGAACTCATTTACTGATGAATGCTTTTTTTTAACATTGCCTTGTTGTATTTAGGCTTTGTAAAGCCCATGACTCACGCCACCTTTTCCTCTTTCTTTTTTTTTTTTTTACAATTTCTTTTTCATTATTTTATTTGGTATTTTGTTTTTTTAGTAGATCTCTCTTGATCTTTTATTTTCCACTATTATTTTTATTCCTCAGTATTTTTTTATTACTTTCATCTCAATGTATTTCTTTTTCTTTTTCATTTTAGTCGATGAAATTTTAAAAGTATTGGATTGTTGGTTTTCAAAGTTGTTTAACCTTCATTGTTTTAAATATATGGTTGAATGATCATTTTAATCATTCTCTACACATTGAGATAGTGATAGGTTGCCTTTGATTAATCGATGGAAGTTATTGATTAAGATGAGACCGCTCTATTTTTCTTTTTGTGTGGCATTGCCTTAGGATAATGATCTACATATCATTACTCTAGTATGTTTTAACATGCACATTGTTATTGACTGACCTCTCATAGTATGATCTTTCTCATAGGTTGTGCTACAATTGCTTAACATAGCGCTAAATTGGTCCCGATTCGAAAAAGTGATCATTCGACCAATAACCCTTAATAACTAACATCTAACTTTTACATTTCCGTTCTTTATCTTCTTGCTATTTACTTTCTGTCATTTACTTTTTCGCGACTTATTTCATTGTTCATTTGTTATTCATACCTTTATCATATGTTCATATTCATCTTTCTTTGTTCATTTCATTAAAAAATACAAAAAAAATGATAAAACGATAAAAACCCTACAAAACTTCTAAGCTTGGACTATGGTTACTATCCCTAGCATCATGGAGTTTTGGGCCTTGTAACTAAACCCCAACAAAAGAGATTTGGTTTTTGGGCTTCTCTATTCTCTTTGTCTTAGCATAGGACACTATTGCACATCATTCATAGCTTACTCTTGGGCTTTCCTTACAATGAGACATATTCGATCAATTACTTCTAGTTGGTCGTTTAAAAGACTAGCCTATTTTGCTAGTACAATGTAGTTTATCTTCTGGGTTGTATGCTTCTGGTTTATTCCATCCCCATTTGAAAAATGTATCCAACTCCCATGACGTGAAATAATTTGATCGCTTTCCTTTACTTTGTTTATGTCTTGCCATTGCATCACCTATACCATTTTCTAAATAATCATCGATCCAACGTCGAACCATTTTTCACCCTTGTAAGTCGATTGTCGCGTGCATCGCCATCACTCTTAACCTATCACTGTTAGGTCCCCTATTCCAATCATTTTCAAAACCTTACCGTCGCCTCAAACGTAAATTCAAACCTCGATCAACATCGATTATTTTCCAAATCTAGTCAAATCAATTAATCATATTCAAACACAATTTCATTAAAGGTAAAAAGAGAGTTGGTCTGGAGCCTTCGATTTCTCTCCTTAATTGTTTGAGTACTAAGAGCCTTCCTTACTATTCAAATAATTTTCATCTCTAAAAAACTTCTATCCTATTCACATAAAACCATTTTCGTAACAACTCAAATCAAACCTATTTTTCTCAATCAGTTAGATGAAAAAGAGAGAGTCTAGAGCCTTCTATTCTCTCTCCCGAATACTTGGATACGAGGAGCCTTCATTGGACATTCGAGTACTTGTTATTCGTTCAAAACACTCTAATCATATCAAACTCTTTCACAATTAAGGTTGAAAAAGAGAGAGTCTAGAGCCTTCTATTGCTCTCCCGATTGTTTGGATACAAGAAGCCTTCCTTGCCCATCTGAGTGATCGTCATCCAAAAAAAACATCAACACACTAATTCAACTTCTCACCACCGTGTGATCAAAACTTTTTCTCAAAAGAACAATGTTTAGTTTTTCTAATGCACCCACAAACTAAATGCTTAAGCCTCCGCCGAGAGTAGGCAAGCTAATGTTTTTCCTTTAGAATGCAACCTAAATATTTGTTCGATAAAACGAACCAACAACACGTAGTCCCACGAAATATGGACGCTCTGATTCTTCATTTTGCTCAAATGAATATACGTAGGCACGAGGACCCCAATCCTTAGCGAGCTACCTTTTATTTTTTCTATCCACACCTTTCTCCTGTAGTTCACGAACTATGGACGCTCTGATTCTTCATTTCTTTTAAATGAAGATACTTAGGCACAAGGGCCCCAATCCTTGGCGAGCACCCTAATAAAAAAAATACTCATTTCCCCCTTAACAAATGAAACCCTTTTCTCTTACCCGTTTGCATTATTCGTTTAGAAGAAAACAAATAACATTAGCTAACAATCAATCACAAATTGGACTAAGAGGTTCTCATTGAGTACAACAGACATGAGGGGTGCTAATACCTCCCCTTTGTGTAATCAAATCCAGAACCTAGAATTTGGTTGCGATGACCATGTTCTTATCTTAAAGGTTTTATCGATATTTTCCTATTCCTTCATTAGAACGAATCAAGTTCGTCGGCGACTCTGTTCGAACAATTTTTCTGCGTTTCACCGTGAAGGATCATATGTTTTTTTGAGGTACGAAGATTTGGCGGTTCTTTCGGGGACAAATGTTTCTCCATGCAAGAGAGAGTCAAACCTAACTTAGTCTGAATTGTGATGATTGTTAGTTTTGCTTATTTGTTTTCTTCTTGTTTATCTTCTTATTACTTCTGTTACTATTGTTTATTGTGACACTATTTGAAGCTTTTCATTATTGGTGCTTTTTGAGATAGGCTCTCTACCCGAGTCTGAGGAAAAACCTAGGATTAGGATGTTGGTTATGTAGTAGAGGCCCACGAGGAGCCTTCCTTGTTGGGACGATACAAAGACCCCGCTTAGAGTAGATTCTCTTGGAGATTTTATGGTATGACGAGCCTTCATCA